CTTATTCTACTGAGCCCTCTCCCCGGCCCTTGTAAGCTTTTTTGGTTTTGTTCCAGAAATAACTTAAATGAAATTTCTGAAAAATTATATCCCTCACCAAAATTACCTGCTTTCTTTTGATTTTCTTGTACTAAGAAAACACATTTTTTTTAACTTTGATTTGAATGTTATTTAAATACTGGATTGATATCAATATCTCAGATTATCTGGTGCTTGTGAACTTTTGTGGCAGAAGCTCATTTCTTAGCCAGTTCTGGCAGTGACCCGGGATCTGAGCCTGTCTAGTGCAACACTTCAAACTGGAGAGGTGTTACCCATTGTTTAAGTTTTATGAACTCTCCTGTCTGTGCTTTCCAGTATTTCACATGTATATCTTTGTGAACAGTTGTCTTAGAAGACACTAGCTACAGTGTGTGAAATAGACAGTGAGTACATCAGTCTCTGCCTGTCTCTGTCTCCATCCGTCCCCACCCTCAGTCTCTCTGTCTGTCTCTCTGCTACATCCCCAGTCCATTTTTTATTTTGAGACAAGGTCTCACTAAATTATCCAAGCTGGGCTTGAAATCCTCATGCTTCAGCCATCCAGAATGCTGGGATGGCGTGTGTCACCATGCCCAGCTTTCATTCCCTTTTATTTATTTATTTATTTTAGTTTTTTGGCGGAACCGGGGATTGAACTCAGGCCCTTGCGCCTGCCGGGGAGGCACTTTTTCATTCCCTTTTAAACAACTATTTGGTATTAGTAAAGATGGGAGTGTTCATTTTACTTTCTCCCTGTATAATTGGCACACTGCTGTTCTTGTTAAACCTAGAAAGGTTGGACTAATGTTATTTTTTCTTGTTCTTTTGTTGCATTCTCTTTAGCTGTTAGAATTTTGGGAAGGAGACATGGTTCTCAGTGTTGCAAAGCGTGTTCCAGCAGGACTTCATGTTTACCAGGCACTTGATGGTAAGTGGAATCTGAACACAGCAACTCAGTTTATATTCTGGGGGTTCACTCCGACTTTTTTTTTTTGCCAGAACTTCCCTACCTACTACAACCACTTCTGATCTACATAGCTTATTATCATATTTTTTAAAAAGAAATAACTCATCCCATTAATATTATATCTAATCTATATAATATGTAAAATCTTCCTATCATGGAAACATTTTATATTTTCTGAAACTAAGGCTGTCTTTCTAAACAAAACAAAACAAAAAAAATCACGGGCTGGCCAAATAGCTCAGCAGATTAAAGCACCTGCTTAGGCAGATGCAGGGGCTGAGGGTTCAATCCCCAGCCTGCCATGGTGGCACATACCTGTAATCTCAGCCCAGGCTGAAAAACAGGAAGGATCACTACAAGTCTGATCTGTGTAGTGAGACCCTGTAGACCTTGTACTAAATACATTTAAAAAAAAAAAATACCACCAACTATTGAGCAATATGGTTTGAAGCCAGTTGAGTTGTATTTATGCAGCTTGATTTTCTGCCAACTCAGCTTCAGATTTTGTAACAAAGGAAGTTACTTGGGAAATTTAAGGACTTCTTTCCTTTAAATTTCAAGATGATAACAACTGTGCTATGTTTTAATTATTTGCTGGTTGGCTAGGAAAAAAATACCCAACATATGCAAGTTAGGGGAAGAAAGGCTTACTTTAGCTCACAGTTTGTAGGGGTTTCAGGACATAGTCTGCTGGCTCTGTGGCAGAGAGGCGTGGCAGGAGAGAAATAGCCTGTGGCCAGGCAGGAAAGAAATAATTTCTTCTTTCCCATTTTATTCCATCTAAGCAACTAGCCTATTGTTTGGTGCCACCCACGCCCAGGGAAGGTCTTCCCACTTCAGTAAAAATCCATTACCAACACTTGGCACTCTGCTAAGCCAGTCTGGGGACTTAGCTAGCATCACACATCTGTGATCTCGTCACACCCCGGAGCCTCACTGATGAGTGCCTGGGCTTTGAGACATCTAGTTATAAGCCCTAACACTAGTAACATTTATTTTAGGCTTCTCTATGCCAAATACTGTGATAACTGTTCTGTGCTAATTTATATCACTTAATTTTTATTTTTTAATCTTTTTAGAAACGAGATTTATTTATTCAAAGGACTGAAAAAGAAAAAAAAAAAAAGATCTGTCCTCATTGAATTTTATACTTCGCAAACATACCTTTGAAAACTAAAAGTAAAATATTTTCCAGTTATACAAACTCAAAATATTCTAATACCTCCAGATAGAGCATATAGAAAATAACAAAGACCATAATTCAGAAGACAAGCAAAGTTGCTGTTGGTCCTGGATAAAGAACAAAGAGTTCTCCAAATGGTAGTTATGCAGGACTATGTAAAATATAATTATATTAGACAAATCCATTTAAAAGGTCCTTGAAGATTTCCACAAAAGCGTATCAATCTTATGTCAGGTTATATACAAATTTTTTCATGTGTGTGTGTATAAAACAAGAACTAATATAGTCAATGAAAAATGGAAATATACTTTTTAAAGTTTCTAATACTAGGAGAAAACATCATACCATGTCTTATAAGTAGATTGTAAGTCAAGATACAGTATAAATCATAAAACAAAAATTAAGATTAAACAATATTCAGAAAATTAAATATTAGTTAATTCAGAATTAAATATTTCAAAACACTATTCAAAAATTAAAATTCAATTATGAGTACCAATTAAGAGTCCAGAATGTAGTGTACAGTATGTATGAATCTGTGATCAATTCACAGTACTCACAGTATTTGAATAGGTTAATATACAAAAATATCAGCTAAGAAAAATTGTTCATAATAGTAAAGAATTATTAAGAATAAGACATAACAAAACTACTGGAATAGCAAACATGTAACCAACACTTCTAACAGTTTGGGGTTAGGATATAGCTCAAAGTTCTAGTATGTGGTAGACATGGACAGTGTCCATGATGCTTATTGGTGGGCAGGTGTCACTTGTGGGACTAAGCTATTGCTATATCCTTGATATTCCACCCTGGAGACCTGGACAGAATCATGACCCTTAGGGTGCAGGAGAAGTCCGTTTGTAGAGTACGCTGATGGAAATATTTTGCTGCTGTATACAAAAGAATAATTGAAAGACTGCTTTTGTATACCTCTTTTTCTCCTATGTTTAATTGTTTGCTGTATTTGGTGAATTCTTTCCATTCTCATTCATGGAGTTGTGTTCATTTTGATCCCTCTCTAGAATATCTTTTAGTAGGCTATGTAAGGTTGACTTTGTCGTCATGAAATTCTTTAGTTGTTCTTTGTCATGGAAGTATTTCACTTCTCCATTATACTTGAAAGAGAGTTTTGCAAGGTATATCAGTCTGGGTTAGAATTTGTTTTCTTGGAAGACTTGAAGTACTTTGCTCCATGCTCTTCTTGACTTGATGGTTTGTGAAGAGAAATCTGCTGTTATTCTGGTGGGTGTTCCTTTAAATGTGATCTGTTTCTTTTCTCTAGTGGCTTTTAGTATACTATTCCTGTGCAGAATTTTTGGGATCTTGATTATTATATGTCTGGGTGTGTTTTTAATTGGGTTAATATTATTTGGAGTTCTATATGCTTCCGTTACTGTATGGTCAGATTGTTTCCTGTATTTGGGAAGTTTCTGCTATTACTTCTGCCCATACTCTTTTTATATCATTTGTATTGACTCCTTTCTCATTGGTGCCTATTAGTCTTACGTTGTTCATCTTTGCATTATCTTGCAGGTGATGAGTTATTGTTTCCTGCATCCTAGTTGGTTTTTTGTGTTTTTTTTTTTTTTTTTTTCAGAACCAGGGATTGAACTCAGGCCCTTGCGCTTGCCAGGGAAGTGCTTATTCCACTGAGCCATCTCCCCGGCCCCATCCTAGTTGTTTGTTTTTTTTTTTTCATCCTAGTTGTTTTTAAGAGATCTTATCTTTTCACTAGCTGCAATGGTGTCTTCAAGGTCTGAAAGTTTATTCTCACTTTCATTCAAACCGTTTTGCCAGTTTGTGATTGAGACTTTAATTTCATGTATATCACTTTGAATCTGCTTCATGCATTCTCTTTCTTTCCTATATTGCTTATTCAAGGATTCCATCATTTTTATATTCTGCTCTATTTTTTTATCAGTATTTTCTTTAGAAGCACTTAGTACTTACTTCATTATAGTTATCATTTCTTATTTTACTCCTATTTCCTCTATACTTTTCTGCAGTTGTTTCTTTACTTCAACTGCTATTATTTCAGACATTTTAGGTGTGTGATTTCCAGTTTCTTCTATGCTGTTGTCTCCTGCATTTGTTCTGAGTGGGCTCAGGTCCTGAGAATGCATTTTGCTCCTTCTCTTTGTCATTTTGTAGAGCACTGTCTTCTGACCTTTGATGTAGAGCTTTGGTGCAGTTACTACCTTAGCACCAGATCCAGATCTACCAAGTTCAAACTTGTCCAGGTGGGTGTGTCTTGGGTCTGGGTGCTGGGCTCCACTCCTTCCTGCTGCAACCCTTGAAAGTGAACCCGCTGTGCCACACTGCCATGATGTTCTGCTCCTGGATCATCTAAGTGGGATTTGACTCTAGCCTTTCTGCAGAGAATTCTGCTGCAGGGTTCCACACTGGGCCTGTCTGATGGAGGAAATTCCACAAATGCCTAGCCTGGGTGCTGGCTGAAATGAGGATCCAGTGGATCAGCGGGCGGTCACACATGCGCGCGCGCACACACACACACACACACACACACACACACATATGCCAGGCCTAGGAACTGGCTGGAATGTGGATCCAATGGGCCCAGGAGTCCCACTTATACCTCTCATTTGATTTTTAAAACATTCTTCTATCCCCATCTTAAATAAATGAGGAAACTGAGCTTAGAGGCTTGACATATAGAAAGACATGTGAGAGGACCTGAACCATGAGGTGCCTGTCATAATAGCATGTTCTTTGCTTATGGTTGGCCTTTGTAGCAACTCATCCTGCTGCCATGCTCACAAACTACTGAGATTTTAAAGTAAAAATAAAACTGATGCTGGATGTGGTGGTGCACGCCTATGATCCCAGCACTTGGGGGACTGAGGCAGTAAGATCACTGTGTTTGAGGTCTGCCTGAACTACACAGTGAGACCCTATCTCAAAAAACAGAAAATTAAATTTGCAAAAAAGATGTTAAGGGAGCCAGGGAGATGGCTCAATAGAATAAGCGCTTCCCTGGCAAGCGCAAGGGCCAGAGTTAAATCCCCGGTTTTGAAAAAAAAAAAAAAAAGATGTTAAATGATAATATAATAAAAAACTTGAGTATCCCCATTCCTTCTTTAGTTAAAGTGTTTCTGGTGGTCATGATGGTCTTACTAATAATTTCACATTTTCCTAGGAAATGAACTGACATTGTGTGAAGCTGGAATTGCTGATGGGGAAGACATCTTTGTTTGGAATGGAGTGGAGGTAAAAAGGACAAATTACAGAAGAAATATAATAATTTTGTGAGATATTTTAAGTTATCATAATGAAGTTTTAACCTGTATGTTAAAGCAACTTAACGTTAGAAAACTGCAGAAATGTTCTATAAATTTTAGTCCATGTAGTCATTTGTTAAAGAGATACCTTTTGAGAGCTTCATCATTGCAAGCAGAGGGTCTTACTGGACAGAGGCAGGATGGCCCATTCCTGGTGTGAAGTGCAGCATAGGACCGTCACGAGGACTTGAGAGCATTACTACCAGCTCTGCTGAGGTGGCAGTGGTGGTGCTTGGAGGGGCAGAGTGAGGTCTTGGGGTTGAGGAGCAGTTTCTCGGCCCTGCTATGGCCTGTCCCAGGTCCTTCTGTATTTCCAAGGCATGGCATTACCCAGATGATTGATAAATCTCTAACTGCCACCCAGATTTCTCTCCTGAGAAAGGAAAGAAAAACTTTCAAAAGAAACATAAAGTTATTCCTCTGATACTTAAAAGGCACTCAAGAAATTATAATTTTATTTGGAAGAAATGAAGGTTCTCCTGGAGCAGTCTCACCTTGCTATGATGTTAATTTGGCAAATGCCAACCACACTGGTGGTTGTCTGGCTATTGTTGCAGGTTGGTGGTGTCCAGATTCCAACTGGTGCTGACTGTGAGCCCCTGCTCTTGCATATTCTTCATCTGGAGGCAGGTGGTGATAGCAGAAGGTGTGGGCAGCTGGTGGAGTCTCCACATGTCTTTCCAGCCAATGCAGAAGTGGGCACTGTGCTCACAGTATTGGCCATCCCAGAGGGTGTCATCCTCACACACAGTGCCACGTCTGCAGGGGAAGAGAGCTGGACCCCTGTTCCCAAGGAAAACATGCAGAGGACATTCAGAGAGCATGGTCTCGGAGACGGAAGTTCTGTTTTAGTTCAGGATTCTTACAGTGATGCTAACAGGTAACTCACTAAAAAAATAAAAGGGAGAATTTTTTTACGTTATTTCAGTTACAATACCATCTAGGTCAGAGGTGACAAACCTATAGCACACATGCTGCAGCAGGCTGTTTGAATAGTAAGAGTTAAATGTTTTGTTTCTAGATACTCTAAATACTGTTTTAGGCTAACACTTTTAGAAAAAAATGTCAAGTGATTTTTTTTTTTAAAGTAAATGTGGTAACAAAATAATATAGGCATCCCTGGGTTGTTTTTGTTTTTACTTTTTTAGTTTTTTGTTGTTTTGGCTTTTGGTGCCAGGAATCAAACTGATGACCTTGCTTGCGCTTGCCAGGCAGGCCCTCCCTGGTTTTATAGATGAGTGCAGTCTAAAGTGGCTAGGTATAAAGCAAACCCTATGAGATGAATGCTGATTAGAATCGATTATAAACTGAAGGTATATTTTCACAAAGAGAATTTCTGAAATTCTTCATGAAGTTATTAACATCATGGTTAAATTATTCTGGATATTTTATTAAACCCATAAAGCAGTATACTTTTTATATTATAAAGCAATATAATCCTTTATTTGGCTCCTGAGAACTTCCCAGCTGCCTAAATAGGGCAGCTACTTAGGTGCTGACCCTTTGAATCTTGTAGTCACATTTAAAGCTCAGACACACTGTCCCTTCCTGCTGTTGAGACCCACATCTGTGGCTACACTTTAGTGTGTCACATATTGTGGCCCCTCTCGCATGCTGCCATAGTGAACATTGTCCCTGCTTAACCATTACTGCAAGTGCCCTTAGGTTTCTGCACTCGGTGTACTAATTCATAGGATACTGAGCAGAGTCCTTGGGGGCTGAATTGCTCGCTGCTGCTCTTCTGGATGCATGTTTTACAGACGTGTTTCCCCTTCTTGTTTATAATGAAGGTTATTCTGTATTCTTTAATGGAAGGGAATCTGCAGTAGGATATAGGAAGTAAAAAGTGAAGATGGAAGAGACCCCAAACAGCAGCCCATTTTCAGTTGTGTAGTATTGATCACTATAGCACCCACTGGTTTTGCTTTTCTTCTAAATGGAATTACAGTTTGAACATTTTTATCTTTTTAGCATCATAATTGCTTTGTAGGTGAATAGCTGTTTTCTGCTTCCCCAAGGTCCCCATGGTTGTAGACTCCACGTGCCTTGCCCAAGGCTGTGTGATGCTGATGACCTTGACTGTGCCTCCAGTGAGGCAGGGCGAGGTGGCAGAAAAGGGCGAGGAATCAGCTGCCTGGGCTGTTTTACAGCTTTCCACTTACTAACAGCGTGGCCTTGGGCAGTTACTTCATCTCTCTCTGTTCAGTTATTTCTGCAACATGGGACTAATAACTAGGGCTGACTTCATAGAGTTTGGAGGATTACAAGAATTACCTGCTTACTGAGTGTTCACACATAGTAAGTGTTCACAATCTCAGTGAACATCTCTCATCGTCCAGTTTCCACTGCTTTGGGTAGTCTTCAGGGCACGTCTATACTTAAAACTTCATTATACTTAAGATTGTACCTTGAAGTGGGCTGGCAGCATAGAGAAACTAGTGAAGAGTAAAATTAGTGTCAGGGCTGTAATAGTCACTCCCAAAAAGGACTTCTGTTAGCCTGGTCAGTGCTACTATGAGAATTAGGAAGAAGTCACCCAGTCCACAGGGCTTCTCTGTCTATGGGAAGATTTTGTTAGAAAAGATACTCTTCTGCCTCAAGAGGATGTAAAAATCCTACATAAACCAGTATCAATCATTGAAATTGAAGATGAAAAACCTACCAAAGAGAAAAAGCCCAGGCCCTGATGGATTAACTGCTGAATTCTCCAACACCACATACTAGCTCATAAAACATGGTTAAATAAATGCAAAGGAATTAAATTATCCACTGCATGTTATCAGCCCTAAGTGCAGTGAAATTGGAAAAGCACAAGAAACCACAATTTCATAAACACACAGGAATTAAATAACACTCTCCTGAACAACTAATGGGTCACAGGTGAAATTAAACAGCTTCTATACTTAAATGTTAACAGCAGTACAGCATTCCAGATGTTATGGGACACAGTGAAAGCTGTTCTAAGAGGGAAATTTATAGCAATGAGTACCCATGTCAGGAAAACAAAGCAAGCACAAATAAACAACTTAATGTTGAACCTCAGACTTCTAGAAAAATGAGAGCAGACCAAGCTCAAAGCTTGTATGAGCTTTGGAAATTATAACGATCAGAGCAGCAGTTCATGCATTGGAGACTAAAAAAACAGTACAAAGAATGAATAAAGGTTGGTTCTTTGAAAGTTTAAATTAAATCAACAAACCCTTAGCCAATCTTATCAAAAAAAGGAAAGACTCAAATCCATGTAACTAAGAATAAAAAGGGTGAAATCACAATGGACCCTGCAGAAATCCAGAAGATCATCTACATATACTTTGAGAACTTGTAGTCTACTAAGATGGAAAATACAGAAGAAATGGACAGACTCCTAGATACATATAATATACCAAAGCTGAATCAAGAAGATATAAAAATCCTTAAAAAGATAACTACTGCCAACTGCTAGCATAAAACTCTTCAATGGAAGTACAAGTCTGTGATGTAAATGATGCATGTGACACCCCTTAGGTGTAGCACTTGGGTGTAGTCTGTAGAGCTGTACATGTATGTCCTGTTGGAAAACTAAATTCAAATCCTAAGAGGTAGGCCCTGGAACACTTTTTGGGAAGCGGGGGTATTCTTTTAAGACAGGTCTCACTACCTTACAGGCTGGCCTTGAACTTGAGGCAATCATCCTGCCTCAGCCTCATTCTGGGATTGTAGGTATGTGCCACTACACCCACTAGGCCTTGGAACTCTTTTTAAGCTCTCATGGGGATTCCCATGTGCAAGTAGAAGCCAGCCATTGGTTGCTTAGGTACAGCACTTCCTAAAAATCATGGCAGCATATTATTGACATAAGTCAAAACCTACTTGGTGTCCTGAATATAAACTGTGCACTACTGCCCACCTTTCCCTGCAAAGACAGCTGACTTTCATAGAGATGATGTGTAGGATATGGCAACCATTAGTCTCTTTGTGGGACACAGAGTTTTGGAAATGGCACCTAAGGAAAAGAATCAGTTTTCTGATCCACAAAAGTTTGTTTTGTTTTAGTTCATAGTGCTGGGGTTTGAAACCAGAGCCTCATATATACCAGGCACACTCTCTAAATAAGAATTTTTATTGTCTTTCTACCCACAGCCTGTTGTCCCGAGGGGAGAAATGGATCACTGTTAGGAATGAGATTGACTGGCTTGAAATTAAAAATTTATGCCGGTTAGAATCTGAAGAGAAGCAAGTTAGAATACCAGCAGCTGTTAACACAGTGAGTAGACCTTATGTTTAGCTAAGGTTTCTAAGTTAACAGAATTTATATTTAGAAAGCAGAACATTAGTCTTTTGAAACATTTGTGTCAACAGGCTTCTGAATCTTAGGAAAATCAACTTCTTAACTTTGGGTTACTGTTTTTTATCAGTCCTTGATCTGCTTCAAGATTTTTAACTCCAAAGCCTTGAATGAGAGTGGCAGTTACCTATTTTGTTCATGGACTTATCTGGCTTTTATAAATATAAAATGCTATTTTCATGGGTTTTTTGTGTATTTTTAAATGAGTGCACATATGTGTACGTGTGTGTGTTATTTTTGTGTTTTTTTATTTTTAGGTTTATCTTAAATTGCTCTAAATTATATTCTGTGCCCTGACTGCAGCCAACTGCTTTTACAGAGACTCCTCTAGTGTTTCACTTGAAGAATGTGATGGTGGTTTCCTTAAACTCTATCTCAGGAAATATCTTTTTATACTTAAATGTTCCCAGGAGATTAAGTTGTCTTTTTCTTTCCTATACAAGTGAGAAGAAAGTGTTGTTTTCTTTTAAATCAACATTATAATTTCTTGAGGGAGGCTCATGTTTGCTGGAACAGGAGAAAAACCAATGAGCTCAGGAGACTGCCCTGGCCCTGGACAGAGGCTGTGGAGGTTGCTTACCACTGCTACCCACTACGCTTGGCATTGAGGGGTACCAGTGGGAGGTTAGAGTAGAGGTCTCTCACAGTGTTAGCCATAAATTTCCAGCATTTTATACTTTAGACAAAATTAGCCTAAGTTCAGCTTTAAAAAGAAGACAATTTAAAATAATTTAAATAGAAACTATAATGGTCTTAGATTGGTATTAGGGATTTTTGTATTATTTACACTTTTTGGTTCACAAGTATATTCATAGAAGAATGTGATTGCTTATAGTACTTTATTATAGGTTTCCTTTTTATCCCAGTTAACATCAATTTGATTAAAAACTTAACTGTTAAAATCTATTTGCAGCTTTTGCTTTTGCTTTTGCCGTTATAAGAAAATTTCAGGAATGGGGAGGAGGGGGCTTTTTCAACTAGGCAGAAACAAGCATCAGGTAACTAGTATCTCAAGTGATCTATATGTGCACACACTGACATCCTTCATTATCATCTCTTCCCATTCAGCTTAAACACAGTCATTAGTTTATTTCTCTATTTTAGGTGGTGTTTGATATTCGAATTAAAGCCATAGAGGAGTTAAAATTAATGAAGGAACTAGGTAATCATTTAATTTGCTTTTTTGGTTTGGGGTTTAATTTAGTTGGTTTTTCATCGAAAGGAAAATACAAAATAATTCAAAGAAATTTCATCCACCTACCACTCAAAATGGATAGATGTTAGCATTTTGTCACGTGTTTGTGTTTTTGTTGAAACATTGTAAATGTTCTCATACCTGTCCCTTGGGGTGCAGCCAGTGTATGACTTTGGGGGTATATGTAGTCCACACTGATAGGACTGCCTTGTTTGTTCCCAGCCTCCCAAGTTCCCAAAGCAGCTGCCTAAGCTCTGAAAACCATCGCAATCCATTCCCAATCCTGTAGTGTTCCCGCCTACTGTGCTAGCACATAGCACACCTGCCTAAGCTTTCAGGTCACAGCATACCCACAGCATTGGCCATTGCTATGGCCACCTAGGCAACTGTTCTCTCTCCTCCAATCTCACATGTCCCCTGCCTCATTCTGCCTAAGCCCATCCCACTAAGCCCCCAACCCTGTCCATAAAAACCCACCTCAGTAAACTTAACTTAGACTCACCTTTAGAGTTACTCCAGGAGGTCCTACCCAGAACCCGGACTACAGGCTGGCTGTGGTCTTTTACTAGGTTATAACTGTTTGCCAGGGCCAGCAAGATAGCTTAATGGTCTAAAGAACCTGCTTAGGCAAGTTTAGGCAGGCGCAGGGACCACAGTTCGATCCACGGCACTACATGCCATGCCAACCCTGCCCCCAGGGCAGGCGGAGCAGGCCACACAAAAAAAATTAATTAAATAAATAAAAAAGACCATCATCTAAAAAATAAAAATTAAAAAAAAAAACGTTTACACATGTTCTCAAGTTATACTATATAATAAACTTACATATAACCATATGTGGATATTTATATTCATGCAAGGTCTAGTTACTGAGTACCAGTCTGCAAATTCACTGTTCAACCAACATTAGTGTTCCTTAGCAGTTTTGTTTTGTTTCTTAGTAGTTTTATTAAGATATAATTTATGTTACATAAAATTCACTCATGTATAATACAGTGATTATCAGTAAATATAGAGAATTGCACAACAGTACCACGATCCAGCTTTCGAACATTTCCAGCACCCCAAGATTTCCCTATACCATTTGTATTCTGGGCACCTGACTTAATCAGATGATTAATCTCCTGCCTCTATAACTTGATTTTCTGGACACCTAATATAAATGTAACAATGCAATATGTAGTATTTTTTGTCTCACTTCTTGTAGGTTATATACATACCATTTGTGAAGTTTACTATTTAGCATTTATCAGATTTATTTTTTATTGCTAACCTAGTATTCAATTGTTTTGATATAACCTTGTGGGGGTTTTTGGGGGTATTTTTTGGTTTTTTGCAGTACCAGGGATTGAACTCAGGACCCTGCGCTTGCCAGACAGGCACTTATTCTACTGTATATATATATATAATGTTTTGTTTACTAGTTGATAGACATTGTCTCCACTTTTGAAGTAATGCTTCTATAAATATTTAATGGAAGGCCTTGTATAGGTATGTTTTCAGTTCTTTTGGGTACATATATACAGGACTGGAATCACTGGGTTGCAGAGGAAAATTCATATTTAACTTCATAAGAAACTTACATTCCAGAGCAGCTGAACCATTTATATCCATACTGGCAATGTGTCAGGGTTTCAGTTGCTCTATACCCTTAATCAGTATTTTTATTGCCTTTATTATAACCATCCTGTGAATATGAATTGGTATCTCATTTACATTTAGCAGGAACACATACTCAATATGCAGAAATTCATTGTACTTTTATCTACCAGCAAAAAAAAAAAAAAAAGCAAAATTAAGAAAATATTTATGATATCAGGAAATAAGAGTCTGTGTAACAAAATGTGTACAAAATGTATACTCTGAATACTGCAGGCTGTGAGAAGCTGAAAGCCTGAATGAGTACAGCACTGTACCAAGTTCACGAGTCACAGTGCTATTTGGAGCACGGTTCTCCCTAACTTCATGTGTAAATGTTATGCATTCTCATGGAAAATTCTAGCCATTTTGTTTGTTTTAGAAGTTAATAAGCTGATTCTAAAATGTATATAGAAATATAAAGAACCTGAAGTAGCCATAACAATTTTGAGGAAATAAATAAAAGTTAGGAGACTTATTCCAGACAGTGTATTTTGATGTGTGGCTAGACGTAGGAAGCAGGGGTCAGAAAACTGTGGGCTACAACTTGTTCTCATGCAGCCAGTAAACAAAGAATAGTTTTGCATCTTTAAAGTCCAGTTCAAACGAGAAGAATGCTAGGGATATAGCTCTGTGTTGTAAGTGTTTGTTCAGCATGTGAGGCCCTGGGATCAATTACAGTGTCACAGGAACTAAAAAGTGAAGACTGTGCAACAGTCACTGTATATGGCTCACAAAGCCTCGTGTGGAGCAGAGCTAAACAAAATATAGAAACAGGCGTAGAATAGTCTGCTGACTTTCAGCAAAGATACCAAGGTCATTCCTGAGAGAAACTGTTATTTTTAACCAATAAAGGTAGACCATTTGGATATCTGTATATGCCAAAATGAACCTCTAGCTTTACCTCAGCTAAAAATGGATGTAGAATTAAATGTTATACCCTAAACTATAACATTTTGGAAAGAAAATGTTTAGAAATTTGCTATAAAGGATTTTTTTTAAAAGAGGACTCAACTCAAACTATGAGAAAAACAAACTACTTAGTTAGACCACATCAGAATTTAAAATTTGTACTTTTTTTGTTTAATAATAAAATTTTATTTTTTCCAAATGTACACCTGGTTGAACCTATTCATCATGCATCTTCACCAGAGGCAGGGGCATCTCCACCCTTGGTATTTCTGGTATAAATAACTTGAGCGCTGTGCTTTGAGACCAGCTTGATAAGCCCTTTACTAAGGAGCTCCTGAAGGGCTGCTCTGGCCAGTGCTCCACGGATCTTTAGTCTCTCAAGACACCACAACAGACATTATAAGTTTGTAGTTGGGAACTTTCTTACAGGGTTTGTTGTAAGTAGCTTTATCGAACAGAACCAGGTTGTTGAGTTTGTCTCCCAACTTTGCCTTTGGACCACTTCTTTTTGGCCCTGCCCTCCAGATTTGTTCACTGGGTCTTTGTCTTTCTTGGCTGACTTTCAGACATCTTTGTTCTTCTTGTCGTTTTTGGGTGGCATCGCAGAGCCTGGAGAACAGAGGCTACCACTGCAGGCCTGTCAAGATGTCAGACAGAAAGCTAAAATTTGTACTCTGAAAAGTGTCTGAAAACCAGAACTACAAACCAAGGATAGGTATTTATAAAACATATATGACAGTGGATTTGCATACAAAATACATTTTTAAAAATACATGCAAGGGGCTGGAGAGATGGCTCAGTGGTCTAAAGCACCTACTTGGAACAAGCTTGGCAAGGCATCAGGGACCGCGGTAAAATCCCCCAGCACCACATGCCAGCCAGCCCCGCCCCCTGGTGGGCTGAGCTGGCCACACACACACACACACACCACACACTCTCTCTCTCTCTCTCTCTCTCTCTCTCTCTCTCTCTCTCTCTCACATAAATAAAAAAAATTTAAAAAAAAATACATGCAAGCACGCACTTGACATGTATGAGAACCTGTGTTCAATCCCAAGCACCATGAATAAAGGAAGAAATTTGAATTAGGAAAATTGAACCAGCATTCACAGAAGAAAATCTGCTTGTGAATGACCAATAAATAAAGGATGCACAATGCCACTAGCCATCATATTAGAATGACACACCACTGAACATGTGAGGAAATGGTTAAAATTCAAGATACTGACAAAACATGTCAGCAAAGACATGGAGCAACTTGGAATTCCTGTGTATTGCTGGTGCGAGTATAAAATGTGTATCTCTTTTGGAAAAGTTAGCTTGTCTCTTATAAAGCGGAATGTTCACTTTGCCAGTTCAACTCCAAGATGTTTACTGAAGAAAAGTTAAAAGTTAAAACATTCACTTACACAGGTACAAGTGATCATAACCAAAAACAATTCACATTTCCATGAGCAGATAAATAGATGGACAAGTTGTGGTGTAGCCATCCAGTGGGCTGCTATGCATAAAACATGAATGAATCTGAGTCATTATGCCGAGGGAAAGAGAGTGGACACAAAGCAGTACACAGTGTGATTCCATACGTGTAGTTTTAGAAACAGAATTGAAGCTGTAGTTACAGATGGCAGATCAGCATGGAGGGTGGTGAGACGCTGGCCACAAGGAGATTGGCAAGGGGTGCTACAGATTCTCAGTTTGCTGGTGTGACTGGCTGGATATGTTTTATTATAAGTAAATTACACCTCAGTAATTAGAGGCTGGCCTGAGCTAAATTGTGAGTTCAAGGCCAGCCTGAACTCATAGCAAGACCTTGTCTCAAAAAGAAAATGAGTGTTTCATTATCTTGCTGCTGATAATGGTCTTGCCTTTTCCATTCTGACTTCCCTCTAAACCTTTCTTCATATATAGCAAGAAATCCTCTTAAATTTATGTGAACTACGGCATGTCACACCTCTATTCAGGCTCTAGTGCTTTCCAAAGTGCATGGGCTCACTGCCAGCCGGCTTGACCCAGTCGTGGCCTACCTATGGCTTGTCTGTGGCTTCCACTGACTCAGCACCCCCCAGGCTGCCTGGGTGAGCTTCTGAAGGCTCAGGCTCCCCCCCACCCCCCACCCCTGAGGCCTCAGTGCTGAGGTTTCGTTTTGAACTTTCTTCCCTTCCCTTCACTCTCTCTCCAAACTTCAGCCACTGCTTTGGTCTCAGCTGAAGCAGTGCTTCTCCTTTCACCCCTGACCACACAGCCTCAGCTGCTATTTCACATCCAGTGCCTGGTCTTTTCCTTCATAGTCCTTTCTGCTCTTGCTGCCCTTTATTTGTGCCTCACCTGCCCTCCATTGGCTGAGGCCCTGTGAGAGCAGCCCACAGCCGTCACTCACCACTGTCCCACAGCTTCTAGCTTCTTGCCTGAGCTACACAGGAAGCGTTTGTTGAAATAAACATATTTTTTTAATGTTTTTGCCTTTTTATCACGGGATCATGTGGTGTGGCCTAGACTTACCTTGAGCTCCTGGGCTCAAGGGACCCTGCAGTCTCACACACATTACCCCATGCCCAGCTAAAAGCTAAAGGATCTTGAGGACACTGTATTTAAAATGCACTTTTCTAACTTGGGCAACTAGCTCAGTTCGCAAGAAGTTCTGTATTGGAATTACATGCTAGCTTCATAATGCTATGGTACAGTGTCGTGCAGGAGTCAAGAGATCCACAGGGGTCTGATAAAAGTGGGACCTTCTAGGTCCTGGCTCGTTTCACCCATTCAGAGGGCTCAGCTTCTCCATCCCACTCACCCTACCCCATTCTTGTCCTGCTTTCTAAGAATTCTGTTTGGACCGAAAGCCTGGTGTACCTTTTCCTCCACAGTAGGAATCCAAGTTTTCAAAGATAGAACACACTGGCCCTAATGCATTTTACTGAGTATAAAATCATTTAACATATTTAAAGTTTAGGTAGTCCGCTTTGCAGAGTTATGCAAGAATTTCAATTATTGTAGTTTAATCTCCTGACACAGTGATGTAAATTCCAGCCGTATTAACTAAGAGTAGCGCTCCGTAGACAGGTAGATCACTGCCCAGAACGCATGCGGGCACCGCAGCCCACAGAGCCATATCACTTCTTGCAAGTCGACTGCCGATGGGTCCCTGCCTGTTTCAGGCACTTGAGCGCAGACAGCAAAGCATGTTGCTACGTTGCCTCCTCTTCTCCCAGAGATAACCCCACCTGAGACTTTGCATGAGTGGATGATGGAAGGAGGAGATGTCCAACAAAAAAGAAAGCACTCAAGTAAAAGTGTGGAGTTGTCTGAAAAGCAGCTGTCCCTGAGAATGTGGACACTGATATACTGTTGAGGAAGGTGAACTTGGTGACCTCGGTGAGGAACGCTGTTGCAATAAGGATGGGGTGAGCCCAACAAAAACAACAGTGCCAGAAGCCTTTATGCTACAGCAGCTCAAAGATAGTTTATGACATCGAAAGCAAAAAACAGTGCCAGAAGCTGATCTGAACTCAGGAATAAGACCATGTGCTATATGGGGTAGGAAGAATGCCTGGTCTGTAGTGTCAGCTGCAATGAGAAGTAACCGGCCCCGCTTACACTACTCTTGAGGTGTGTTCTACATAGACATAAATATTTTAGTACTCAGTTTCTGATGCTTTAAATAAATGTGCAAGTATTAGTTTTACTAGTTTTTTTTTTTTTTTTTTTTCTTTCCCTGGTGCCTGTTTAAACAGTTTTATACATTTTGACAAAAATACTTAGAAGTCTTGAACCAGTTTTTTTTTACACTGAAAATTAATGATTGCTTTCCATAGTTTCAGCTCATATTTTTACAGTCCTGCACTGCCATGCAGAGTGTGGACTGCCCAGAGCTGAAAGATTTTGCTTCAGTTGTTGGAGATTTTTTTCTTCACTTGGGTTTTTTGGCTGTGGTAGCTTCCTGCTGAGGGGCACAGCAGCACACTTCTCTTCAGTTTTGTTCTTTGACGTGACCCGCTGCTTTTTCTTACAGTTGAGAACAGCTGTTTGAGGCCTATTGACAGAAATGGGAAGCTTCTTTGTCCAGGTGAGTCTTTCTGGTAGTTTCTAAAAGCTGATGTACACTCATGCCATCCTTCTTTTTAAACTTCTATTTTAAACCTTAAATAATGGTTGTAGAACCTAATATTCCTATTACTTTTATAATATGATTTGTAGGACATATGTTAATCTAGATATTTTAGTCACTGTTATAACTTTATCTTTTTTTTTTTTTTTTTTTTTTTTTTTTTTGTGGAACCAGGGATTGAACTCAGGCCCTTGCACTTCCAAGCGTTTATTATGCTGAGCCATCTCCCTGGCCCCGTACTGTTACAACTTTAAACATGAAACAAGCTCATGCATGGATTGAGCTGGAATACTGTCTGGCTTTTAATGCATGTGAACAGCAGCCCTTCATCCACGTCATTTTCATTAAGCGAACCTTGACCATTAAGACTTGTTCTTAGTTTTTAGTATTGTTGTACAGATAACAAAAAAATGTAGAGTGTAGAGACTGAAGATCAAGTATAACCATAGCCTGTATAATCCTGTTACATGAAATACAGCACATTTTTTTTTTTACTCTCTTTTTTGGGGGGATAAAGATATGAAAATTTATTACCCATGGGACAATACTGGGGCTCAAACCCAGGGCCTGGCAGCACACTCAACACATCCTCTCCCTTAAGCACACCTCAGCCTTTCCTCCTTGATCTTTTTTTTCGAAGACTGACCTCAGTGTGTTACTTTGCTGAAAGAAGTGGGAATTACAAACATTTATTACATTATCAAAATTTTTTGTAGTGCCAGACAATTTCACTTTGAAGGAAGCAGAAGTGAAGCTGGGAAGCTCCCTCGGATTGTGTGTTGGGAAAGCACCGACTGCGGCTCAGGTACAGCAGGGTGTCCCCAAGAGGTCCGCTGCGTAGCCCACGGCTCGGCTCTGGAGTCAGTGTGTTCACCACACCAGCAGTGCTGTTTTTCTGAAAGTGGTTTCTTCCCTTAAAATGTTCTACTAGGAATATATCCACATAGTTCTCTGTTTACACAATACTATACCAGTGCATGCTTAGCAAGTTCTTTTTCTGTCAAAATGTTCAAGTTGTTTGCTAGTCACTTTCCTTGTCACTGAGACACAAGAACTGAAACTTGCCTCTGAAAGAAAGAGAGGTTTACTTTGGCTCAGTGCCGCCAGCTCCAAGGCCAGGCGGTGAGGCCCAGGGGATTGGCAGAGGAATCACTGCTCCCATGTTCATTCACTCAGTAGGCAGGAACCAGAGTAAAGGGAGGGACTGGAAGGGAAGTCCAGCCTCTGGTCCCACCCACAGGGACCTGTATCTTGCATGCAGGCCTTGCTTCTCTAACAGCACGTCAGTTATAGTGTCCTTTTAATCCAGTCACCTTCCTAGGTGCTGCCTAGAATAACATGAGGCCTTAGGGGGACATCTAGCCATAAACCATGAAAAGGGACATAATGGAGCTGGGCATGGTGGTGCACACCTCTAATCCCAGCACTTGAGAGGCTGAGGCAGGAGGATCACGAGTTTGAGGCCAGCCTGGGCTATATAGCAAGAAGAAAGGGAGACAGCGTAAGAGTCTTTAAGGTTGAGTGACCACTGGTTTCAACCACTGCCTTTCACAAGTTCCAGGGTGAAACTTTTCTCTCACATTTTAATGTGTGTGAAATCGAACACATCTTAAGTCAGTAGCATCCTGCAGTTACAGCTGACATGGTTGGTTGGTTTCTCTTTTAGTGGTACAGAAAAGTAGGAATAACAATCAGTGGCATTTTAGATGTAAAGAAGTACAACATGTTGATATTTGACATTTTCTGCAATAATGATAGTTCTATAGCAACTTCCCTTTCCCCTTATCAGAATTCATTCTCTGTGTAAATACAGTCAGGTTGGCTCTTACCAGCAGCTGTACCTAGTTAATCAACTTTGATTACAACCCATCATAATGGTACCATATGAGTAGTTCCCTACTCCAGGCCATCTGGACTCATGCCCCGGCTCTATTTCGTTAGTCTCCTAGCCACTGCTGCTTTCATCTGCTCTCCTCAACGCCAGCAAGTAACAGGGAATGACAAGCTAGTAGGAGGACAAGCACGCTGAAGTTGAGTTAGAAAGTGAAGACAGTGCTCTAAGGAACTGAACTGAAAATGGAGCAGAGTTCTGTTTTCCTTTGGAGTCTGAGTATTATGTAATTTGGGCACCTAGAACAAAAGGTAAAATCATAACCAAGTGGCTGTGAGAAGAGCCATTGCTTACTGTGTGAAGTGATTACAAATCCTTTGCAGAGTACCAGAGACAGAGATCATAATAGAAAAAACAGGACCTGCGATACCAATCATTCACTGAGAGTCAGAACACTGATGAGGACCATTGCAATTTCTAGGTAGATGAGATTATTTTGGGGGGGGGGGCCGGGATTGAACCTCCAGCCCCTACTCCTGCTTGCAGGTGCTTTAATCCGCTGAGCTATTTGGCCGGCCCTTAGATGAAATTATTGTTTAACTTAGAACACTAAATTACTCAGCATAGTAATTTTACATAATTTGAGGGGTTTTGTTTTATTTGTTCTTGTGTGCTGGAGATTAATCCAGGGCCTCATACAGGCTGGGTGAGCACTTAACTGTGGAGCTATTACTCAGGCCTGAGGTTATCATTAATGGTTCCTGGATCGTTGACTTTCCTTTTTTTTGGAAGTAAAGCACAGGATTGTACAACTAAGGTTAAATGGTACTTTCTGTCTTGCTCTCAGCTGTTCCTGTTTTTTGCACTGGGGAGTGACATTCAACCTGGGACAGAAATGGAGGTCATAGTAGAAGAAACGCTATCTGTGAGAGATGTAAGAAATTTTCCATTTCGGTTTACAGGTCTGTGAGTATTTGCTATCGGGAGCAGGGCAACCTGTGCTAGCATTTGAAGTCCTAAGACAAGGGCTTATGTAATAAACTCCCAAGAATTATATACATCCAAGTAAAGGACTAGTTCATGCATACTGAAAATTGGCAAACCAACTGGCAGTTTTAAGTAAGATTATGATTATCGGGTTTTATTTCCTGTCAGGATTATCAGTAGTACTTGTTTAGTATAAAAATTTAGGAGAGGCAGAAATGTATTACAAGAAACCAGTTTGAACCCCTCAGAAGTCCACCAGTATTAGCATATTGAGTGTCTCCACCTGGTGTTTCCATTCTGTGCACCTGTGATCACACATGCAGAGGTATAACTGGATATGTGCATGTGTGTGATCAAGTATGGTCATAATCTTATGAAGAACTGGGGCTTTTAGTATTGGAAAACAGACAAGGGTGAAATCAGTGAGGTTAAATACAAACCTGTACTCCTGAGTTTGAATTAGAAAGTTCAGTAACTTTGTTTTTTCTGAAATGTTTTCTTGCTCTATCCCGTGACACAGCTTAGAAACAGCAATTAACTCCATAGCAGTAAGCAGCCCTAGCACCTGGAATGTGGTGTATAAGTACCATTTTGTACCAAAGGGAACCAGGCATCTTGGAGCAAAGTCTGCTTCTGTATCTAGGTCAAGAAATAGGAAGGGGGGCCTAGACTATGTTGTTGTCACAGAAAGCAGTGGAGCTAACAAAGACTATTCATATCTTGGGAGTTGCGTGCTAGTCAAAAGATGGAAAAGCAAATTTAAATTCTATAACAAAATTATGACAACTTTGGAACATGAAAGCGTGGATTAAAAGGAAAACCCCTCATTCCTTACCTACATGCATACATGCCCTTATCTTCATACATATATAATGTACACATAAAATGTGGGCATTCCTAATAACACCCCAGAAATATTCATTAGTTATTTATAGTGGATAAAGAGAAAAGAAGAACCCAGCATTTATCCTGTTTTTCCTTGGTAAGCTATACTTTTGGACAGTTAACTAGGTAATGAGTTTTCCCACAATAGATGTCTTTCAGGAGCCTTAAGTTACCACAGTTTTTCAGAGGAAGGAATAAAGGAAGAAGGAATTTTAGGATATGACAAGTTTTCAACTTCTAAAAAATGGATCAAGACAGTGATCTCAAGGACTGCTAATGACCCAGAAAAGAGCAATCCTGAGACATGATAGAAGTTCTAGAACAGCCTTCTTGCAAAAGCAAACAAACGAACAAAAAAAAAAAAAAAAAATTGGTCTGACTACCAATTACTATGAGATACAGGGACATAGGAGGATAATTACCTCAGATCTTCAGCCACAAAATCCAGATTGGAAACAGTTCTTCAACAAATTAACTACAGGATTGGGCAGGAGCAGGGGGCCAGCATACAAGGTTGAAAGAGGCTTATGAGAAATAGTCCATTCCAGTGCATAGCCTTTATTTGGACTGATTCAAGCCAAAAAAATTGAAGTAATAATTGAAGCAAAAGTAGAATATTAGAACATTAAGTATTTCTTGATCTTAAGTGTTTTTCAGATGTCATTTAGTAGTATATTTTTATAAGACTTTTGAGAGGTGCATATTAAATATTTATTAGTGAAATGATACAGTAACTGTCATTCGCTTAACAACCAGGGGAGAATGGGGTGGAGCGTGGTGTAGCCAAACCAGCCTGGCAGTGCTGGAGTCCGTGGTGACCACAGGAGGGTCATTTAAATAGCTTTTAGGGAAGACTAATCTTCACACAAGTCAGAGTTCCAGTGACGTGACGTCAGTCATGTGAGTACACTGTTGGATCAAGTACACACTGTTAATCCTCACAGGAAGGAAGTTATGGTTCAGACTGAAAAGCAGTGAATGAAACTTGGACCTAAGTCCTGCTGCAAGGACGGAGCACTGACTTGTAGGTCGGTCACCTCAGTTCTAAGTGTCTTTATCTATTCAAAAATGAGCCAGCAATCGGACTTACATAGTTCAGGGTTTGCAAAGGCTATTTCTCCTTGTACTAAAACTCAGAAAACTGACATTGGGCATAATTTTTTTTTCAGTGTTTAAAGATAATGCTGGAGAAATCTGGTCTGCTAGGTAAGTTATTTACATGATAATATACAGTATGATGATGTAATCTTATCCATGTCTTTCACGTGGGGCCAGGGAGATAGTTCAGTGGCATAAGCGCCTGCCTCACAAGCACAAGGTCCTGAGTTCAGTCACTGGTACTGCAAATCAATCAATCAGTCAGACTTCATATCCTTCATTTAAAGCAATTTTTTCTATAAACTTTGTAGTTTTGGGGGAAAAAAAATTATCAATTAGAAGGAAAAAAGTTTAAACTTCTATATATGCATAATAAGTTCCCTTAGTTTTTACTTGCAAACTAAAAGTAAAGATAATTTAAGATTTATGAAACATATTTTTTAAAAAGCTAAGATTTAATACCTGGAATTATCCAAGTCTTTCACTCTTTTTTAACTGAAGTGGCTGTCCCGGGCTTTGGTATCTTGGAGGGGCGCTACCATACCCTGGCCACACAGCTCTCTTGCAGAAGGGGTCATGTGCAGTCACAGTGAAACCCAGTCACTGCCCTGCTGTGCAGGACACTTGCCCACTCTCCTTGTACAGATGAGGAAACCGGAGCTGAGAGTGGGTAGGCAACTTGTGACTCTGAGGGCTGGGCTCCCTGATCTCCCATGTGCCCTGTGGAGTCCTGCTGCTCACTTGTAACTCACTGCTGACTCCTTTGGGTACTTCAGTTAGTTTTTCAGATTGACATCAATCTTACTGTGTTTAAAACTAGAACATTAGACTAGAAAATGTCCAGGAATCTGGGGATTCAGAGATTGGCTGATGGAGATGGAAAAGAGATCTGTGTTTATCCCTTTGCCTGTAAGGTGTTTTTGCTGGCAGGAGCTGGAGGGTTGGGTGCTTATTTACAAACATTACGTTTTTTAATCTCTTAGTTTTCCTCCAAGCTTTCCCTCACTCAAAAAAAAAAGTTTCATTTCGCCATTGCGGCAGCTATACTGAGACACAGAAGTGTGATCTCACCTTTTCGACATTTATTAGAACTCACACATACCAACTTGGGTAAGATGACCTTGGGGTGGTACAGTGAAGAGCGCCCGCTCGAGTGCCAGGTCGTGTCCAGCACTGCCGCAGGAAAACACTCGCTGGGGACACTGCTCTTGTGTGTTCGTTAGTGTAGCTGCTAAGTAAGTGGGAGTCATTTGCTTATGTGCATTAACAGATTCTGAACAGTTTTCAGCTAAGATTAAAATAAACTCAACTTTATAATGCTTTCAGAGAGATTCCATGCTGGGGGTACATGTATACTGATAGGTGGTCTGTGTGTGTGTGTGTGTGTGTTTGTAAATGCAGAAGATACAAAGTAAATATTGTCTGATAATAGTAAATGATAAGTGCACCTGTGTGTTGTTCTTGTTCACAAGATCTTGGTGGAAGAGAAATCAAATTAGATTGATGAAATAATTCTTTTTATGCTATATAAGAAATGATTTACTTAAAATAATTAACAACAATTATTGAATAAAATCCCACTTGCTATTCATTTATCCAGAAGGATCGTTCCTGACAAAGTCTTAGAACATACTCCATCCGGGCTTTTTCATCTGAGTTTGGTTCCTCCATAGGAGATGCATGGCATTTACGGAAGATGGACTGGTGCTACGAAGCCGGGGAGCCTTTATGTGAAGAGGTAAATTTATTTCTGAACACTACTCTTTCAAATGATTGAGTTTATTTTGTATTTTCATACAAGATTACTCTCTCCTAGTTCATATGAAAGAGCTCTAAAAAAAGAAATTTTTTACCTTTTTTAAGGTACAAAATACCAGTGAAGGGACCCAAGTGTGGTAGGGTAGGCCTGTAGTCCAGCACTCAGGAGGGTGAGGCAGGAGCATGGAGGGTCCAGGCTGGGCTAAAACACAAGACCCCGTCTCAAAATAAAACTGAATGGGTCTGTTGTGACTGCTGTTTTCTGATAGAAGTCAAGTCTCCATTAGGTGGGAGCATTTCTGACATGTTTAATAAACCCCTCCTGGTGAGGGAGAACATGTTTTAGTAGCAGGAGTTCAGTAAGAGTCAGAGAACTTCAGAGGACAGTAACATTTGAACTCATGAAAACATTTGAAGCTTCTCTTGAGTGTTCAGGGCCTTTAGGGAAGTTTTTTGGGGTTGTTTTGCAGTAGTGGGGGTTGAATCCAGGGAGTACTGAGCTATATCCTTGGTCCTTTTCTGGGACATCTTGCTGCAGCCTAAGTAGCTGGGATTAGAGACATGTACTACCATGCCTAGACCCTGCATATTTAGTCGCAGAATTTCCTAGTAAGTTTATAATGGCAAAACTCACTTCAGTCAAGCTCTGGTGCAAACTCTTGGTCCAGCTGACCTCTAGAGGAGTCTTAGGTACACTTTCCCAGGACAGTTGGAATCCAGTTAAGGCTTCCTGTTGCTCCAGATCACATCACACCTCCCAGTCAGCAGCCTTGGAGGAGACCACGCTTTGTGAGGAAGCATAGGTCACTGTGGCCAGCTGTCCTCTGCTGGTCCTTTTCTCCTTGCTTGGAGGAAGAGGTAGGCTTGGAGGGTCTTTAGGACATGCAGTTTAACTGTAGAAGAATGTATTTATTCAAATGACTTTTGCATTTTGTTCACTATTAGTTCCCACATTGGTATTATGGCTCATCTAAGAGTAAACTCACAGTCTTCAAAACTGGCTTTCTTCCCAGGTTTGCCATTTCTTTCCATTCCCAATCTTCTCAGACTAAAGCATGGCTTAATCAAGATTTCCTTCTTTAGATCACGCTGAGCCTTCTTCCTGTTTCCCCCATGGCTTCCTACTTTGAGCCTTCTTTTGCCTTGTCCCTAAATTACTGCAGTGGTACCCATAGCCCAGGTCTCCCTGGCTCTGTCATGCTTTCAGCTGCCAAAGTGATCCTTTAGGGTCTGCGTCCTTTCTTTCTAGGCCATAGCCTGATGTGTGCCCATGCTTCAGCTCAGTTTCACTTGTCTTTCTCCCATCTGGCTCTTCTCTCTTTCACTACTGGGTTCTCAGCTCTTCACCCAGACAGCCTGAGCTGCCATCCGCCCTGCCTTTGCCCTTACCCTTTGTCATGAGCTAGTGCTTCTCTTCCTGTCCTCACTTTCCATATTCAGTGTATCATTTTAGGCACCACTAAAATTTCATTTGCCACAAATCAGCCTTGTTTCTCATCTCATCTCATCAATACAAGTAGTGTGTAACTCACCATTAAATACTTAGTTCTATCCTGGCTTGATAACCTTACCTTATTTCCTTCATTTTTGGTTCCTGCCTGATTATTCATTTATTTCTTGAAACGTAATAGAGGCATAGGGTTAAATTAAAAAAAAAGATCCAGTGGTCTGTTCCTTTCAGAAGTCCTAAGTGACAAAAAAGATTTCTGTGTTTCTAGGATGCAACACTGAAAGAGCTTATGATATGTTCTGGAGATACTTTGCTTTTAATTGAAGGAAAACTTCCTCCTCCGGTAAGATTTTGCTTCCAAACAGACATTTTTATAAGTAACAGTTACTATTTTCTGATTGTAAAGGTTGTTGATAGGTTTTGCAGCAGTGCAATAAGGAGATAGGAGAGATAAAAGAAGCCTTTATTAACGCCAAAGAGAGGATTGAGGGCAGATGGAGCAGATCCTCTGACTTGAGACAAAAAAGCCAAGACTTTCGTGTACTTTTGCTCAGGTGGAGTTTGAGGGGGATATTTAGAAATATCTGAGGAGCTGACTGGGGACTTTCTGTGGCGCTGGGAAAGGTGAAAGAATTTGCACTCTGGGCTGGGTTGGGTAAGTGGGAAGGCAGTCTCGGGGAAGATAAGCTGTTGTTTTAAGGACTTTGGCCATAGTAGATGACTGCCATAATAGTTCAACAGTTCATACTCAGGCTAGAACCTATCAGTTATATATTCTCATTATGGGAAAATGCAGAAATACAGCCAAAAAAGAACTTTCCCCAAATTCAACCAGTCAAACCTGTTTCCCTTCCATACATATTTTGAAATAGAATGAAGTCAGTTACCTATAAGGTTTTCTTTCTTTTTTATATTTAGCATTTTAACCTGATCATGAAGTCCACAGATATGATTTACTGCTGTTTAATCCTCCTGTATTCCCAGTATTGGAAGTTTAGCTTGATTTCAATTTTTTGCTCTTACAGTTATTACTTAAATATAAATCCTTCTAAGATAGAATTATTAAATCTAAAGGTGTTAACATATTGAAGACTAGGGGCCAGGGAGATAGCTCAGTAGAATAAGCCCTTGCCTGGGAAGTGCAAGGTCCTGAGTTCAATTCCTAGTACCACAAAAAAAATAAATAAATAAAAATAAATATTAAAAACACATTGAAGATTTGAATTTATACAATGCCAAATTGTCTTCACAAAAGTTATACAAAATTTGTAGTTCTATCAGCAGAATACTGAACAAGAAAACTCATTTTCTTGCTTTCATAAGCATTGCATTTTACTGTGGGTTTTTTGGGGTTTGGTAGGGTGTTTTTGTTTTGTTTTGGTTTGGTTTTTTTGTTTTTGTTTTTGGTACTGGGAATCAAACTCAAGATCTTGCACTTTGCCAGGCAGGCATGCATATTACTACTTTTGTAGTAAATTTTGTTGTTTTGATTTACATGTATTTAATTAAAATGACATTGAATATTAATCTTTACCAGTTTGATAATATACCGTAGTGTTTCTTGAAATATGTATTTAAAGTATTTTACATAACTATTTTTTACTTTCTTATTTTCTATTGTTAGAAATTGAGCAGTATTAGGGGGCTGGGGAGATAGCTCAGTTGAATAAATGCTTGCCTGGCAAGCGCAAGGGCCTGAATTCAATCCCCGGCTCCACAAAAAAAAAAAAAAGAAAGATTATCTCTTAATCTTTTGAATTCCTTTGTTAATTAAAAAGTGAGGTGGGAAACACTAAACTATGTACTGCAATAATAGGGTGCATATAGAGCAGTAGGTGTCTCCGGTAGCTCACTTGTAGAACTCCGGCTTTAGTCGTAGGCTCTTGTAACTGGCTGGTGGTAGTAGTGTAGTGTGTTCAGGCAGACACTGTGCTCCTGCCTATGCTTCTGTCACCTATTAAGATTCTTCTGTGCAAAGAACATTTAGTCTCACCATCCCAAAGTCTGATTTTCATTCTTTTAAATTTTTTATTTTAAATAAGCATAATATACGATACTTAATAAATCTAGGAAGAAAAATAATAAATTCAAGAATATTGTAGGTCACCAAGATACTTCTTTGTGGAAGTGACATGAAGAGTCACTCAGCCTTTGTGCATCACAGCAGTTGAATGCTCTGTTCTTCAGGGTTTCCTGAAGGTGCCCATCTGGTGGCACCAGCCGCAGGGTCTCTTGGGACACTGGGAGAATGAAGACCAGCCCCACGGCAGCCCTGCTGAGGGGGACAGCTGGAGAGCAGCTTCCACGCAAGGTGAGGATGGACAGAACTGCAGGAACCAACACGTCACAGGAAAGTGCAGCACCTGCTCTGAGGACCAGCTGAAATGTACGTTGCAGTCTTACTCATTTATGTTGTGAGGCACTCCAAGTCAGTAACACCACTCTGCCTCTGTGCAGTGTTGTTTTGTAACTTCTGCAAAAGTGTTCCAGGTCCAGTTGTTGTCTTCATTATTGTCCTGAGACATGGTACTTCCTCAGAGACCTTTATACAGGGCAGTTGAGGTCCCACTTACACTTACATATCAGTATCAAGGCTTGACACCATGCCACTGAGCACAAGGGCAGAGTCCAGGACTGGAGTTGGCCTCCTGCATGTCTCCTAGGCTTTGTTCCTGCACCATAGCCCCAGGAACTGCTGCCAGGGCATCTGTCACCACCCCCTGACTTCTGAGAGGAAATCCTCACAGGCAGCATACACATCCATGGGCGGAAGTCGGCAGCAAAGAGTTGGGCTGCTTCAGTACAAAGGGGACTTCCACTTCCTTACAACAACAACACATTTTAAATTAGAATCTCTTTTGTAACTGTAGATAAAGACTTATTTTGATATTTTGCCTTATTGTGTTCTGTGGTACTAGAGATCAGGCCCAGGGCCTCATACATGCTAGCAAGTTCTTTACCAGAGCTACAGCCCAGCCCCAAGGGAATACATGTTTAATAGGGTCAGTTCTTCAGGTATATTTTTTCATTTTATCATTCTTTAACTATTTAGCTTTCATACCTTGAAATGTTATCATGTACTATAATTCTTTTTATCTTTTCAAAAACCTCAGTTAACAGAATTGATATAAATGCCTCAAATTCTTATTAGAATTCATTAGAAGTTAAGATTGTAGGGCCAGGCATGATAGGGCACACCTGTAAGCCCAGCACTCAGGAGACTGAGGCAGGAGGATTTTTGCAAATTGGGAGACCAGCCTGGCTTGCATACTGAGACCTTGCCTCAAAAAGACCAAAAAAGTAAAAATAAAAAAAGAAGTTAAGATTATATATGTAGAGTAGTAATAAAAGTATGTTACCAGCTATGAAAATTTTCTTGTTATTTTAGTTGGGCCTAGGCCTGATTTCTCATTAGTTCATATTAACTACTTCTAAAAATACTTAGGTGATAATTACAGAGCCACAGAATTGAACACACAGTTTTAAAGGCATGTTAAATCAATGTATTTTTTCTCTATACCATAAGAAAAAGGTATATTTTTGATGACACTTCTATACCACAAGAATTGGGAAATGTATTTCATTTAGAATTCCCTGAAAAATAATCCCGCAGAGAGTGCCAGTCTCCAGTTTTCTTGAGATGCAAGAATTGCAGAGCCAGGTATGGCGGTACATGCCTCTCCCAAGCTCCCCAGAAGGCCAGAGCAGTGACGGTCATGAGTGTAAGGCCAGCCTGGGGGCTGAGGGACTGAGCAGGGCCCTGTCTCCAAGTCAGTGTTTTTTTTGTTTTGTTTTGTTTTATTTATTTATTTATAATCTTTTAAAGTCAGTGTTTTTAAAAGGACTTGCAGTTTGGCTCAGTGATAGAGTTCTTGCCTAGCATGCACAAGGTCCTGGATTCAGTCTCTGGAATGGGAGTGAGGCTCATAAGAAAGCTTCTACATTTAATTTACTTCTAATCAACATATAATATTTTGTTATGTATTAGTTATGAGCTCTGCATAGGAGAGATACTAAATCAAAGCAAAAATGGGAGAAAATCTTCTGAATTGAAAATTTGGCAGCTTTTACATCCAAAGTTATGTTGCATTGCATTGCATTGCTTTGCTTTGCTTTGCTTTTGAGACAGGGTCTCACTCTATATATAGTTCAGCCTGGTCTTGAACACACTGTGTATCCTAAGCTGGGCTGGAACTTTCAGCAATTCTCCTGCCTCAGCCTCCTGATTGCTGGGATTACAGTTGTGTGCCACCATGCCTGGCAACATCCAGTTTTTGATGAGAGAGCTTTTTTTTTTTTTTTTTAATTTATTTATTTTAGTGTGTGTGTGTGTGTGTGTATGTGTGTGTGTGTCCAGCTCACCCCACCAGGGGGCAGGGCTGGCTGGCATGTGGTGCTGGGGGAATTGAACCGCGGTCCCTGTGCTTTGCTTAGCTTAGCTTGTTCCAAGTAGGTGCTTTAGACCACTGAGCCATCTCACCAGCCCGAGAGAGCATTTTTGCTTTCTTCTTCTAAAAACATCCGTGGAAAGGCCTTCTTATTACCACAGTTTCTTTTACTGCACAGTGGCCAGGTCTCGCAGTGCAGCACCAGCATAGCAGGCTCTGGGGAGACAGGGCTGATAGTGCCCCCGTGACACTCCTGTTCTTCTGTGAGGCCAATTGAACTGTGCACACAAAAGGGACAAGAGCAACAAGTTGAGATTGAGATAACTTATGTGGAAGGAGGGGAGGAAAGAGAGGGAAGGAAAAGAAAGGAGAATGAGAAAAGAAGGAAGGAGGGAGGGGGAGAGGGGAAAGGGGAGACCGAAGTTGATAAAAAGCACACAAGCAGAGGGTCCCACCCATGGTCTTCTCTGAGGAAGGAGCGAAGTTCTAGAGGAGCAGTCAGCAGACAGCACAAGGGCCAATCCCCCCAGGTCTCTGCAGCTTCCTGACTGCTGACCTCAGGCCACAGAGCCTAAGCTCGGGTCTTGGGCTCTGCCCGTTTACAGTAGGAGAACATGGATCATATAGGCCTGGTAAGCTATCATATATGGTGATGTATTGCAGAAATGTGAGACCTGTAAGCATAGAGCTCATTCCTGACCCCGGCTCTGTCCCCTCGCAGGTGTTCCTGGCCACGAGCCTGCGGAAGTCTCTCTCCTCTACTTGGGAGACATAGACATCTCAGAAGATGCCACGTTGGTGGACCTCAAGTCTCAGGTCAGACTTCTTCCCACCACACGCCTTACTGGTGATATGGCTTCTTCCAGTGAGATATTAATATATTCTTCTATTTCCTTTTCCCTCGACCACAGTCTGTTCTGATATGGCATTTGTTACATGCCATGTTCAGGGGTAAGTACTGGCAGGCTGTGCCCGCAGCCCGCGGGGTCCTGGCTCCTGCGCCTGCCACTGCCATCATGGCTCTCACTTACCGACTGACAGGCATGCTACGCGTGTGTTCTGGTCTATCCTTAGCGACGTGCGTCTTGTGTTCACTTTTATTTTTTAGGGAAACATGGTTTCCTGAAACATCTTTGTGAAGCGTTCACTTTGCCCCTTTATTTACATTGTTTTGTGCCATTGTGATTTATGTGTTTCGTGTTGGTTTCCCATGAGGTTGGGAATCCCCTTGGAGGGTAGGGGGCTAAGCTGGAGGTTGGACCTCTCCCTGCGCATCAGCGTTGGTGTAGGAGAAGGGCCCTGTGCGAGGGGAAAGGCTGGGTTAGGTACAGCACAGACTGTACAGGAGGCACCTTGCTGTTGTTGGATTAGAATGAATATTGTGTCCTTTACCTAAAGGAAAAAGCGGGTGTAACCCTGGCCAGCAGTCATGGGAGTTTGGCCCCTGTGAGTCCTCAGGGCAAGCGGCTCTGATCCGCTGAGAACAAGTGGAAAGGCACATTTCCTTCTTACACCAGGTGCTGTTTGTAGGTCAAAAAATGGCTGAATATTGATCTCTGCACGTGTGTCAGCCTAAATATAAGCAGGTGCTGAGTTCTGTCCACTCCTCCAGACGTGGAGCAGGCAGTCTGGGGCTGCTGGATAGAGCCAAAGTATTTGAAATATTTTGCAATCAGAAGTCCCGTCACAGGCAGAGCTAATGTGGCCCAAGTCTTGGGGGAGCACAGGTGACAGACACTGAGGAGTCCTTTCTTCACTGGGACAGACTGCTTTGCTCGGTCACACTCCCAAAGGGTCACTCAGAAGCCTCAAGGGCTGTTTCTGCCTCAAGATATTTCCATGGAGTCTGGGGAGATAGCTCAGTACAATAAGTACTTCCCTGGCAAGCGCAAGGGCCTGAGTTCAATCCCTGGCTCCACAAAAAAAAAAAAAAAAGCTATTTCCATAGAGAGATGTACAAAAACTACTCAGGATACACTTCCAAAAAATGTCACTGTAGCTTTTCAGTAGACGTTAGCATTACTTGGGGTCTCCTGCCCTCCAGTATCATTGTGCCGTGCTTCATTTGATGTGCTTTGCTGAGTGCCTTTAAAAACCAGTGGAGAAATGTCTGTTTCTTTGTCTAGGCCAGGGCCTTGCCACCTGCCTCAGAGCTGGCTGTCCCGGGCCCAGCCCTCCTCAGAGCCTGGACAGTGGAGGACAAGCGCCCTGGCAGACTCTTACGCGCCGAGCGGTGGCAGCTCAAGTACGTGCTTGCGGGCTGTGTGGCTGTCCCTGCCCCGTGCCTCACAAAGTGGACAGCGAGATGGACGTGGGTTCTGTCCTTTGAGACAGAGGACAGCAGAGCCTAGCCCTCCACCCCCACAGTGAGGTCGATGGCGTTTCCTCCCTCTGCCTTGGCAGCCTTAGCTTTGCATGTGAAAGTGAGGCTTCATGCATCTTCCTACGCTCCAGCAACTGTGCCATTATTGTGACATACAAAAAAATTGGAGTGAAGTGAAAGTTAGCGGCAAGCCTCACATTTGGGACGAGGGAAACAGCGGATCTGCCTCCTGCACCTTTGACCTTGGAGTGAACTTGGGCCTCAAGGAGAGTCACTGGTTTGCTTTGCAAAGTGCAGCCTCAAGGGTTCTGTCCTGTCACTGTTTATTAACACTGGTGTGGTGGCACGAAGGCTGGGCTTGGCCAGAGGGTATTTGTATGGGAATTTGAAGCCAGACCTTCATGCTCAGTGTTGTCCCAAGTAGCTAAGTACAGTGATCGCCACAGCAGTTCCTGATTTTCCCCTTCTCCAGAAGCTGTCATGTTCACAAAATAATCCGTAGTTTAAGGAAGAGCTTAAAATCAAGAAGAGAAAATTGTCTCAAAGAAGCAAATGGTACATCCCAGTGATGTTGTTTCCCTTATTTCCAGGGAACATAAGCTGGGACAGAGAGCCGGGATCTGCCTGGAGCCCCTTCAGCGAGAAGAACACCTGGGGTAAGAGGTGTTGCTCCGGCCAAGCTTTGCTCACACCTTCCCACGCACAAGTTCCTAGAAAACCAGAGCCACCCAACAGGGCAGGGTCCCTTCCTCTTCACTGCTTCTGCAGGTAGCCTAGCAACTTTAAACAGATCGTACTCTAGAGACAGGCATACCTGCTGCCTGGAACTAATCTTCCCATCACACGAGTGAGGGAGAGTTGTTTATGGCCACACACAGGACACCCTGAGGCCCTGCAGGTCTTTTGGGTGAGCAGGGGGTGAGGCTGTAGTTATCAGGCACTGGGACAGTCTGTCACCACCCTGGGTCCGAGCAGCACCCTTGTGCTGCCACAGCCAGCCATCTTCCTCCTCTCCTGACTTGCCAGTGTACCTGTATCTGTTCATGTTTCCCTCCCTTGACATGGAATGGAAGCCAGGAGAGATAAGTGCTTTGTTCGCTGTGTTTTTGTAGCAGTGCATTTATAATGTGTGCACTGTGGGTCCAGGGATGATTTCCTGGAGGAGTAGTCCTGGATAATGTATAGACACTGCACCTTTAAAATAGGGCTGGGGAAGTGCTCCGTGGTAGATCACTTGCATTGCATACCGAAGGCCCGCACTGGACCCCAGCTCTGCCAAATTAAGTAGTTAAATTCCTTTCCAGGTAAATTGCACCGATCTGTTCTCATGAGCAGAACTTAGCAGTACTTAGTTCACTCACCCTCAAGCCAGTCAAGTATTTCACTGTTCAGAGGTTTTCTGAAGTGATAAATGAAATGTGTTTTCATTTCTCCAGTGCTTTGATTGCTAGTAAGGTTGGACATGTTTTCAAAGGTTTATACACATTTGTATTTGTGATTGTGAATAAATTATTACATCTGTTTTGCCTGGTTTTGTAACAGGCTCAGAAATCTTACATAATTTGTACATCTCCCTGTATAGCACCGTGGACCGCGTGTCATGCTCACTGTAAACTGTTCACACAAAGGCCTAGGTAGTAGGCCTTAGCGCTTCCCTTGCCCCATCGCTCCTCTGTCCTTGGCCCACCTGCGGGGTACTCTCATCTATCCCCAGGGAGGCTTCTAGAACCCCTCCTCCACGAGCCGACCCCTACTGCATCTCAGACTCCCTTTCTGGGCTACAGTCTCCCACTTTCTCCACTCGTTTTCCTCCCAGTACCCTCTCCCACTGTGACATCACACCAGTGTGACAGGATTACAGCCTTAACAATCACTCCTCCTCTCGCCCCCCTTTCTGCCAAGCATTCCCATTGTGATTCACATAGCCAGCTTTTTCTCCCACCCTTATAAATTCCCATTCTCCTCTCTCTGCCCCAAGAACTACTTCCTGCTAAGGTTTCCTACTCCAGCCTCAGCTCTCCCAGCTCACAGTTGAGTTCCCCCTCCCCAGCTGCCACAGCACTGCAGGTGTGCTGCTCCTAAAGGCAGGTCTGTTGGTCCTCCAGCCAGCTGCCCAGTGTCCAGTTCTGCACCATATTCCATTTGGCTCTGTGGGGCCTGAATCTGCTTCCCAGACTGTCCTCTCCCAGGCCTCTCCCTTTCCAGGGCCCTTGCTGTGGCCCAGCTGTGGGGACTTCACTTTGTTTTGCTCAGGATTGAAGGAAATCAGCACGACCAGCACTGAGGATTTGTTTTTATTTCTGTTTTTTGAGAGAGAGTCTATTCATGTAGTTTAGGCTGGCCTTGAACTCACTATTTAGCCTGGGCTAGTAGCAGTTCTTTTTTTTTTTTTTTTTTTTTTTTAAGTTTTTTTTTT